CTCTCTCTCTCGTTCTCTCTCCCTCTCTCTCTCTCTCTCGTTCTCTTTCTCTCTCTTCTCTCTCTCTCTCATTCATTCACTCACTCACTCTCGCTCTCTCTCTCTTCCTCTCTCTCTCCCTCTCTTTTTCTCTCTTACTATCTCTCTCCATCTCTTTCTCTGTTTCTTTCATTCATGTGAGTGAGTGTTCTTTTTGTTTTGGGACCGTAAGATGTCTAACGGGTTAGTTTATTTTGATTCAACATTAAGTTAAGAACAACATTTTTCTTAGAAATTTTTTTTGCATTAAAATTTCATTTCTTTCTTCTTTTTCAGATTGAAACTTCGTTACCTCCAGTTCTGTTTGAACCTGCTCTACACCTTTTCAATTATTTTTTGTCATCCACCGACCATTCGCGATGTCTTGCCGAAATAAAACAAGCGGAAAGCAAACTAGACGTCAGTCGAGGTCAAGATCCAGGTCGAGGTCGAGGTCACCCGATCGATCTCGTGGATGGCGGAGTTTCACCCGAGACCTGGAAGAAGTTCCCCAGGAGACGACGTACCGCATCCCGCCCTACTACTACATACACGTCCTGGACAGCAACACAAATGTGACCAGTACCCAGATTGGTCCTCAGACCTTCGTGCGTCAGGACCACAAACGAGTTAACACAGGCCCGCAGAAGATGATCGTGGTCCCTCCGCGGCATTATTGCACCATCAAAAACCCAGTGCAGATGGGTGTAGATGGGAGTCCACAGATGGACGATCAGGGGCAGGTGATAGTAAGCTTTGGAGAGCTGGAAATAAGACTACACCAACCGCCTTTTCCGTTGTACCCTGGCGAAGTTCTGTGTGAGAGAGTGTCCCCTCTGAAGATCGTGGCAGCCAACACTGCCTTGAGGATTCGCGCTGTCTTAGATTATACCGAAGACGACGGTACCGTAAGAACGGCCGGGGATGAGTGGTTGTTTGAGGGTCCAGGAACGTTTATTCCTCGAAAAGAAACTGTCGTGGACGAGACTGTGAGGGCTTCGATCATCATGCCTGGGCATGGCCTCGTTCTACGAGCGAGAAAGGAGTGCGTTGATCGGAACGGGCAGCATCGCGTTACTGGCGAAAAGTGGCTGGTCAAGACGAATGGAGCGTACCTGCCTGGAGCCTATGAAGAGGTGGTGGATACCGTGAAAGCTTTTGTTCTCACCGAGAAAAAGGCATTGCATATGCGGTGTCTTCAGAGTTTTAAGGACGACTTTGGGGTCAATCGTAAGAACGGAGAAGAATGGCTGATCACAATGCAAGATACGGAGGCACACATTCCTAATGTGTATGAAGAAGCGGTTGGCGTTGTGAAAATAACTTCTCTGACAAATCGCCAGTACTGCGTCATTCTTGACCCCATTGGACCGAATGGTAAACCGCAGCTTGGCCGTAAAAAGTTGGTGAAAGGGGAGGCAAATTTCTTCCTCATGCCAGGTGAGAAATTAGAGAAGGGCATCCAGAATGTTTACATCTTGGGAGAAGATGAAGGTCTCGTTCTTCGCGCAAACGACGAGTTTAAGGACGGGGAAGAGGTACGAGCTCCTGGGGACCAGTGGATGATTCGTGGGCCGGTTGAGTACATCCCATCCATTGAGGTAGAAGTCGTTCTGAAGCGCCGAGCTATCCCTCTGGATGAGAACGAGGGAATATACGTCCGCAATATGAAGACGGGCAAGGTTCGAGCAATAACAGGCGAAACTTACATGCTCAAAGCCACAGAGGAACTCTGGGAAAAAGAATTACCTGATACAGTAGAAATGCTCATCCTAAGCGGCAAGGACCCTTTGGCGGATCGGAATCTTCGAGGCAAAACGGGCGACGAAACGGTCAGAACCAGAGATAAGACTCGCATCGTGAAATATTGCGTGCCTCACAATGCTGCCGTGCAGATATACGACTACAAAGACAAGACGTCAAGGGTCATATTCGGGCCTGAGCTAGTCAAACTTGGTCCTGATGAACAATTCACTCAGCTGAGCTTGTCAGGAGGGAAGCCCAAGCAGAACAGTATGATCAAAGCCATTTGTCTCCTTCTGGGGCCAGATTTCTCTAAAGATGTCGTCACCGTTGAGACAAGCGACCATGCCAGACTGTCCATCCAGCTAGCCTATAACTGGCATTTCGACGTGTCCAAGAAAAGTCCAGAGGAAAACGCTAAACTTTTCAGCGTTCCGGATTTTGTCGGGGACTCGTGTAAGGCCATTGCCTCGCGTGTTCGCGGAGCTGTCGCCCAAGTACCTTTTGATGAATTCCATAAGAACTCTGCCACCCTCATTCGGTCTGCTGTCTTCGGCTACGAAAACGACAGAATAGGCACATCTCTTAGATTCTCACAGAACAATTTGGTAATCACTAGTGTGGACATTCAGTCGGTAGAGCCCGTAGATCAGAGAACAAGAGAAGCCCTACAGAAGTCGGTGCAACTAGCTATCGAAATTACGACCAAATCACAGGAGGCTGCCGCGAAGCATGAGGCCGAGAGGCTTGAGCAACAAGCAAAGGGGCGTTTAGAACGACAGAAACTCCAAGATGAGGCTGAAGCCGAGAAAGCGAGGAAGAATCTTCTCGAGCTACAAGCCAACAGCGCTGCTGTCGAGAGCACAGGTCAAGCTAAAGCGGAGGCTCAGAGCCGAGCTGAAGCTTTGAAAATTGAGGGTGAAGCTAGTGTAGCGCAAGCGAGGCTCAAAGCTGAGGCTTTAGCTATCGAGACGGACGCCGAACTAGAACGTCTGGGAAAAGCTCGGGATGCCGAACTCACATTTTTGGGTAAAAGAAATCGCATGGATGTTGAGAAAATGGCCGAGGTAAGCAGTATAGAAATGAACAAGTTCAAGGATATGGTGTCCTCCATTGGCAGCGACACACTGCGGGCGATGGCAACAGCAGGACCTGACCAGCAGGTGAGAATGCTGCAGTCCCTGGGACTCAAGTCCACGCTCATCACAGACGGTTCTACACCCATCAACCTGTTCAACACAGCAGCTGGTCTGATCGGGGAGTTGAGCGCACAGCCTCACGCTAAGAAAAGGCGCGTTGAATCGGACGGAGAGGGAACTTCGGAGGCAGCAGACTGAACTGTGGTGATTAAGACTTAGTTACATGTAATAGAGGGACAGTTCAATTTATAGGTCATTGATTTAGTCAGTATTTCATCAGAATGCCTGTGTATTCTTCCGTTAATATGTTATGTGATTTGTTGTCTTACTTACATTTTATATGTATATATAATGCTCAAATACATTACGG